CTCTTCCCTGAAGAGCAAGGGCTGCACGTGCAGGGGTCGTGCCTGGCTCTGAAGGGATGCTTCTCGAGGTCAAGAAAATGCAGACCACTGAAATCATCCCTCTCCCCTCAGTGTGATCGGAGGGAGGTTGGCTCCTTGGCCAAATGCTTTGTCTTTAGGAGAATTAGAGGGGCAAGCAAGCAACCTCCTTTCGCCCTTTCTTTGGGTGGTCGTCACTGTTGATGTGCCGGGTAGGAACATGCAACGCGCCTTCTCTGTACAGGGGTGGGGTCGGGCGGGGCGAGGATGAGCTGTACCTTCCAGGCTGCAGTTCTGCTCCTTTCTGCCTCCTTGACCCAAAGCCTCATCTGCACGATGCCGCTGTTCCTGATCAGATGTCCGAGAGTACATTTGCTTTTATTGCTCAAAAGGACAAAATGTCCTTGGAAGGTATTTTGAAATAGATTTCCCTTAATTCTTTCATCCTCTGGCTCTGAAATGGGACTTGGTGGCATGCCACTGCCTGCTCTGATTGGCTAGAGCCTCATCCGTCTTCCCAAGTAAAGTCTCCTTTCAGGACTTCTCGCCTTCCTGCTCGCCTCGGGCCCACAGCCCTCTTCCTTCCACGCGTTCCTGGTGCTGCCAGCAGGGCCACTTCCTGCCCCTTGGAAGGTCCTACCGACAGCTGCGCTCCATCTGAGTTCCTGCTTCTCTGAATTAGCCAAACCTGGGAGTGTGTGCACGTATGTGAGGACGACCAACTGTCGCTGTCCCCAGCGAGACAGGAGCCTTGAGGACGAGGAGGCTTAGTGCAAACAGGCAGTGAGAGATGCTGCCTGACCAGTTGTCGAGGGAGAGAACCCTTCTGCCATTTCTTGACAAACTCACTATCCCCGTAAAGCTGTTAGTTGAGCACCTAACTCTCCCAGGACAGAGGCTCTCCAGCCTCAGCTCTCAGGATTGGTGTAGAGAAGACGGAATCCTCTCTGATCTGCCAATCTGCTCAAGCACGAGAGTGAGATGCCTGAGGAGGCCTGGGCCAGTATCGGGGTAAATGAGGTTTCAGAGGTGCAGACTCTGCTTTGGCGTGGCGTGGTTCCAGTCTGCTCTTTCTGTCTAGAGTAAACGTCGGGGGTTGGGAAAGAGAGGGAGGTGGGGAAGAGGCTGGCGTCTCCAGGGTCATGATAGTTGTAGAGCTTTCGCCTCTGAGGGCTTGAATATGTGTCAGAACTCTCCAAACAGCACGGGCCATTTGAAATGTTAAAGATTTTCCTTGAAAAACCTCGTCCCCAGTTATTAAAAAAGGGAGTAAGCACAGATTTAAGCGAGGGGTACAGTGGGGTTGCCTTGGTTATTATTTCTCATCGATTGGGAAAAGGAGTTCACTTTGCTCGGTAAATAGAGCTTTGATGGGTTCCCAGGATCCTTCCAGGAGCTGATCTGCTAAAATGACACTTTTTATTACTGTTCATAAACGCCAGTCTCCAGGTGCTGCTGGGATATTACGTTTAAGCTGTGGGCAAACTTGCCAGTCCAGTGGCTCAACAAGCGAGGGCAAGAGAGGCTGGTGATTAGTGCCTGCTTCCATCGGAAGCAGTGCAGGGCGGGGCTCCGGGGGAAGTAAAGTCAGTGGGGGTGGGGAACAGTCCCAAGAGTCCCCCCACTGTCCTGTTGGAGTGAGAACAGGGCGGGCACTGGACCGTCACTGTTATCGGGAGACACTTAAGGGGAACAAGGTATAGGAAAATGATTCCTCAAAGGAGTGCCCAGGGACTGCCCTGGCGGTCCAATGGTTAAGACTCTGCGCTTCCAGTGCAGGCGTGCGGGTTCGATCCCTGCTCGGGGAACTAAGATCCCACATGCCGCATGGCGTGGCCCCAAAATTAATTAAATAAATAAATACAAAAATAAATTTTTTTAAAAAGGAGTGCCCAATTAAGGGGTAGCCAGAGTGCCACCCTCCTGGGAACTGCCTCTGACCAGTGCCAGGTTGAGAACAGGGGCCTCTTTCTTAACTTTAAAATAGGACCGAAACTTTCACGATAGACTGTCTGACGAACAGCTCTAAACCGCTGGCAGTCCTCAACAGATGAACTGGTTTGTGGGCTATTTTAGAAATTCAGTAATTTTCTTTCTCTTTACAATTCTGTTTTTGTTTCCTTTTTTTACACATTCTTTGAAAGGGTAAGAAACCCTGTATCGATCGATTCTGGATGCATTAGCACGAATTCGGTTTTAAAATCCCATGAGTATATGGATAACTGGTGTCCTGCCGTGATTCCTCCAGATGGGCAGCTAGAGGTGGCACTCCGGGCGGAGACAGTGTTTACAGTAACGATAATGTATAGTAATAATAAACATGAGGGCAATCATAATAAAGCCTTGTGAGCCTTTTAAATTTTGTGACATTTGCATGTATTAACTATTCGAAAAAATAGTAATTCAATTAGGGAAAAATTTTCCCAATATAAAGGTCTGATGATTTCATTTTTCATAAGAAAATGGTATACATTGATGCTGTCTTAGTTTCTTCACTCCTTCTCTCATTCATTCATTTATACAACAGAAACCTGCTGTGTGCCAGGTACTGTGCTAGACCCCAAGACTATAATGAAGAAAACAGGACCCTCCCCTCTAGGTTTATTACAAGCTACACAGTAAAATGTGAAATTTTATTGGGTTTACTCATTGTGGCTGGTAGACTTACTTATTTTTAGAAATTAAGAAAAATACACAAGTATCGCTTTAGGTTGTTGATGTTTGTCGTGCTGTCCTGGTTGTGTGTGCATCGTGGCCCGGCAGGGTGAGCTGCGCAGGGCAGCCCTTAGGCCGGGGCAGCTGAGACCCGTCCTGACCGCCTCCCACCCTCTCACCGTCTTTCAGCCCTGCAGTCCTTCATCCGGGCCTACGCGACCTACCCCCGGGAGCTGAAGCACATCTTCCACATCCGATCACTCCACCTCGGGCATGTGGCTAAGAGCTTTGGGCTAAGAGATGCCCCTAAAAATCTCAGTGCCTTGGCCACAAAGAAGAAGAAAGCAAACCTGAAAAGGTAAGGTGGGCTGAATTTGTCCTCTGTTCAGATTGGCAGCCATGAGATGGTGTGGGGGGCTGCTGTGTGCCAACTTGGGTTTTTGTGGTAAATTATCGCCAGTATCTGCCCTTCTCTCAGTATGATGAGTGCTTGGAACAGCTGGAAAAATACCTAATCTGAATGCTTTTAAGGCACTTGCAGAAATTCGGTGATGGGTCCTGAACCAACAACTCCTGTTGGGTCCAGAGTAGTGGGGATTATTGGAACAGCAAGACTGCCCACGGATAGAGTAACTCTGGGGCTTTTCACACTCGGAGCTCCAGGTGTGCTGTGGTCCACCCTGGAAAGCTTCGGGGACTTGAAGGAAGACGGTGGTGTGTCCCGTGAAATTCTGCTGTGGCCGCAGGGCTCCTGCAGGCTGGCTGGGCGTGGGGCCCAGGCCTGGGGCTCCCAGCGCCGTGTGCTGCTCGGCTTGGTGCTGACACATACCTCCAGCATTGAGCACGTGTAGGGCAAGTGCAGCGGACTCTCCTTCCTCCGCCCCCTGCTCCCCCCCGCAAAAAAGAACACATTAGGAACTGTCCAGAGTCGGGGTGAGAAGTGTTGCCCTGCACGTTGGGCACTGGGCTCCGAGTCCATCTTCACGATTTCAAGAGGTCCTGAGATGATTTCTCTCAACGAAATGCAGTTGTAAAAGGTCTTCTTTCTCTCCTCAAAGACAGGGTATTCATGGGAATTTCCTGGCAGTCCAGTGGTTAGGACTCGGCCCTTTCACTGCCATGGCCCTGGGTTCAGTCCCTGGTCAGGGAACTAAGATCCCGCAAACCACATGGTGGTGCAGCCAAAAAAACCACAAACCCACGGTGTTCTTTTAGTAGCAGCCCTAGCCCTTTGCGGGAACTAGAGTTTCTTAGGTACCAGGAGCTGCTTTTATGGGGGATTTGGGGCAGATCATTGTTTTTTTGTTTTGTTTTTACTGTACGCGGGCCTCTCACTGTTGTGGCCTCTCCCGTTGCGGAGCACAGGCTCCGGACGCGCAGGCTCAGCGGCCGTGGCTCACGGGCCCAGCCGCTCCACGGCACGTGGGATCTTCCCGGACCGGGGCACGAACCCACGTCCCCTGCATCGGCAGGCGGACTCTCAACCACTGCGCCACCAGGGAAGTCCCAGATCATTGTTTTTGCTTACTAATTACAAATGCCAGTGTATCCTTGCCCTGCCACTGAGCACCTGTGGGCAGTACCGCACTCTCCTACGTGTCCCAGCACAGTGTCTGTCTCGCGTGTTCACCAAGAAGAGCCGGTCACGTCGTCAGCCTCATCAGGGCCCAGGTTCTCTGGTTGAAATGACAGAGGGAGAAGCCCGCCCAGTGCAGGGCGATGGCTGTTGGAGTTAGGGGGCTTGGCCTTCGGTTCCAGCTCCAGCCTGCCGTGAGCTTGTGAGCTTTGGACCGTTGTCTTTGCTTAATTTCTCAGAGCCTCATTTTCTTCAGCTACAAAAGGGAAAAGGAAGTCCACGTTTTTAGCCACTTCCCAAGAGTCAGAATTAGGTGATACATGTGACTGTGCCTTTTGAGCCGTGAAGGGCCATCCAGATGAAACACCTTAGGACAGACAGCTGGAGACCCGGTGAGCTAAGATTCCAGAACATCCAATTGGATCTGTCCAGGGACTTGGCACTTAGAAGGCTCTTTATAATGGATAAAAGGTTGCCTAATTCTAATTCCCATTTTGGAATTTTTTTTTTTTTTCTTTTTCTTGCGGTACGCGGGCCTCTCACTGCCGTAGCCTCTCCCGTTGCGGAGCACAGGCTCCGGACGCGCAGGCTCAGCGGCCGTGGCTCACGGGCCCAGCCGCTCCGCGGCGCGTGGGATCTTCCCGGACCGGGGCACGAACCCGCGTCCCCTGCATCGGCAGGCGGACTCCCAACCACCGCGCCACCAGGGAAGCCGCCATTTTGGAATTTTTAAGATGCTTGGTCTTTTTTCTTATAGTAAGTCCCCCGCATATAGGACAACACTCCAGTAATTCTGTGAGGCAGGCGTTTCCCCGCACACTCTTCTCCGATGCCCGGACAAGACTGAGGCACGTCCGGCTCTGGTTTCTTCCAGGACGTTTTGAGGTGCACAGCGTTGTCTGCTGCCACACTCTACCTGTCCTGGGCAGGGCTGCGGCCAGAGACCCCTCTGCTCGAGCCAGGTCCTCCCTGAGGGAGAAGGTGCCTCAGCTCCACTCCAGATCTGGGACTGCCGTGCACCAGAGTTAGGTTCCTGCCTTTGGGATTGGGGTAGCTGACATCTGTACATAGTAACTGGTTTAAAGTATGTGACAAAACTATGAGGCTCGCAGTCAGGTCTGGAATGACCTCCTAGTGGTCTGGAAGCCTGGCCATCCTGTCCCACCGTCTCTAAAACGCCGACACCTGAAGGAGGTGGGAGTGAGAAGTGTTGCCCTGCAGGTTGGGCACTGGGCTCCGAGTCCATCTTGACGATTTCAAGAGGTCTGCCACATGATCACTGGTAAGGAGCACGTATTTTGTTGATTCCTTTTCCTGCAAGTAAATGTGACCCCAGTATTTTATTGTCAGCAGCTGATCTGCCTTTGCAAGCGTCAATAGCAGCCCTTCAGACTGGGTGTGCCCAGCCCTCACCCAGGGAAGGCAGAGCGGGAGGCTCGAGGCGCTGGGAGTAGCGGGGGACTCGGAGCCAGCATTGTCCTTACCTTGCGAAGCCGCCAGGGAGAGGGCAAGCCGCCGCCTCCCGCTTCAGCTGACCCGTGCTGGCAGATGGGCACCAGGGCTACGATACCCCTGTGAGCAGGGGATTTAACAGGGCTTTATTTAGGGAAGAATGGGCTGATTAGCCGATAAAGAGCATGTAAGATGGTATGGGGCAGCCTTTGATGCCTGGCTGGCGCGGCAGGGAGCCGGGTGGTGAGTGACAGCAGTGTGTCACACGATTACCCCGCCCGTGACAGTGCCGCTCTCTGTTCTTGCCATGTCACCACTCTGTTACAGCGACTTTTTCCGTTGTTATGCCCTTCTTTTGAAGGCATTTCTCCCCACACTCCTTACACCCTCACGCCCCACCCCTGCCTTGTTAATGCAGATGGGCACTCAAGGATACAGTAGGTTCCTTTTTTACTGGGGGAGATCTTGTTACTCCTGGAGGAAGAATGGCTTTGCAGCTAATCTGCACATGGACCGTATCACTGTGGTCGGGGAAGCGGCAGAGAAACTTGACAGATTCTCTGCACCTCAGTCAGGGCTCGAGCCAATGCCAGTCTCCGCTTTTAAAGGAACAGGAAAAAAAAGTCCATTAAAACAAGTGTGGAGAGTTTTGCTGTGGCCACAATGATTGTCCTGAGCCGAGGCGTCTCTTCTGAAATCCATCTGTCAAGGAAGAGAATGGGTTCCTTGGGTTTTGTATGGGTGGGTAAAATAATAGCACTAATTTCTCCAAATTATTCTGCATTCCATTTTATGGTGTTTACTGCCTAGAATAATTATGTTATGTGCAAACCTCTGATATCTGCAAACCAAATTTATGAGACCATAAGCAAAATCCTGTCTCGCCTGCCATCCCCAAGCAAGGAGTTCACCCGGGTGTTAGCGGATGAGGCCAGGGCAGGTTAGGCTTGGAGACTACTGGGCATTTCTGTGCAGCGACAGAGGGAACTTTTATCTCGTCTATATGCCTTTATTCCTTCACTGGACCACTTTTCAGAAAAAGGAAAAAGAGAGTTAATGTCCCCAAATAAGGTCTTAATCAGCAGGTCTCTCTCTCTCTCCTTTTTGAGTCCTCAGTTCTGAAGGGGAACAGCAAGTGTCTTCCCCCTGCGCACAGAAGCACAGAGTCACGAGCACTCTTCTGATACTGACACACAAGCCTGTCAGAACAGCCCGCCACCCCAGATACCTCCACATCCACGTGCACGGGGAGTCGGTGCTGTTGGTAGAATTTTGAATGGCCCCTTAGCAACATCCATCACGAGCACAGCATTTTCCTCCCATGAAATGCAGTTCTTAATTTTGAAGCTAGGTAGATTCAGCAGTCCCTGAGAAACAACGGTCACATACCTTCCAAAATGTCCGTCTTCCCAGGAGTCGCTGAGACCCGGCGCTGTCTGCTCTGGGAGGGCAGAGCTGTGTTGTTTGCAAGGATGTCTGTCTGTCTGTCTAGGCAGTCACACATGTGAGTAGAACCTGTCCAGGACCAGTGAGCAGACAACTTCCTCATCCGTTTGACACTCTGTGGTCAGTGGTTCAAGGATATAGAAAGTAATGAGCCTTAAAGTCTTAGTGTTGTCGTGGCAATGTGAAAGGGCGAGTCTGTTGGGTTTAAACCACCCTATCTCACTTGGATTATATGCTATAATTGTAAGTTCACTTTCCCCCAAACTGTTTAGTTTGCAGCTACCTAAGGCTGGTCTCACCACTGGCTTCTACCATCTGGGTCTTCCTGAAGTTCTTAGTGCGTAGAAGGTTTCTTTGTATAAATTTTCTCAAACCAGCCCAGCTGAGTGTTACCTGGTAGTTCTCATTTGATCAAAAAGTAGGGCTGTCTGATCCCTTAGTACTTACTGGATCTGGGTGTGCTTGGTCAGGGCTCAGCAGGCTGGGATCCGTAGTGGAAGGGGACGGAGCTGGCCCCCTGGAGCCGGGCCTCACATCCTAGCCACCATACCCAGCAGGACAGAGCATGTCCTTCACCTCTGTTACTTCCAAAGTTCTACATTTAGTGTACTTGTTAAAATAAGGAAACATCCTTAGGGAGGTCATTCTTGCCAGACTTTTCTCATCTGTGAAATGCTTTATCATTGAAGTTCAAATCAGAGATTTTGCAGACCTCCCACTTCAGGGTCATTTTTCACCTTTTTAAAAAAAATTTATGTTTCTCTTTTTCCATTGAAGTGTAGTTAATTTACAATGTTGTGTTAGTTTCAGGTGTGCAGCAGAGTGACTCAGTTATACATATATATTTATACATTTTTCAGATTCTTTTCCATTATAGGTTATTA